ATGTACAGTATGTGGAAAATAATGTTTTTTTAACCTTAAACCGCATAAACACATTTCATTACACCAAATACACAAAATAATGTTCTTTTTAGCAGCATCATATGACCCCTTTAATATCCTAATGATTTTTGGCACAAAAAAAAAAGCAGTAATTTTGACCCATACAATGTATTTTTGGCTATTGCTACAAATATACCCCAGCGACTTAAGACTGCTTTTGTGCTCCAGGGTCACATATATTCTACCAGCAAACATATATTTCATATATCAGACTTTGTCCTACAATGCCTGAATGTAAAGTGCCGCTTCTCTTCATGTCGTCTCACGACTTTTTTTACATTGTCCTCTGTCTGCATAAAAAGGGAATCGTTGCATTTTATGTTATATATAAATAAATTCTACCATCTAGTATAAATACTATATTTGGTTTATAGGCTAGAGCACTTGTGCTCTGTGAAAAAAAAATTATGTCATTACCACCTCACATAACTTTCCTTTTATTTGACTGATTTAAAAATGACAAAATATGGGCTATCGGTTCAATTAAAATGTGAAGTGTGTCCAGTGCCGTTTCCTGCAGTGCTTCCTGGTCCAGACTCTCACCTCATGCTAAATAAAAAACAGGAATGGTGCCACAGCAGAGAAAGCATGCGTGTGTGGGTTCTTGGCCGAGCTGGATGGTCATTTTCTGACCGCTCGGTTTCTGAAGCCAGGCGGATGTGTAAACAGATGCCCAGTGGACTGAGCTGCTGGGCAAGAAAAAGGCAGTTTGGCTTCATGTGCCGGGAGGAAGACACAAGACGTACAAGTGGAATGATTTAAAACATCACACGAACATTCTTACATTCACCAAAATAGACACAGATCAACTTACGACACACACGCACATGCTCACACGGACACGTCTCAAACGTGCTTGTGCGTGTCACTGAATAAAACGCAGTTTAATAATTATAAACTCTTTCCTTCTAGAGCTTTGATAAGTGTTCTATGTACATAAATTAACAATAAATATCTACAATGACCTCTCTCTATATATTGAAATATATATTAAATCTTGAATAAAGTATATATTTCAAACATATTCATGTATATCTTCAAATAAAGCAGGAGATATCACAGTTTAGTAATCAAAAACTAACAATGTTTATCCATCTTTCTGGCTGCGGTGTCCCTGTTCAGTTTTTCTCTGGTGCAAAAACGCTTTAGCTTAATGGTTAACGCTTCACCGAAATTTAAGGTCTCTGTTTTTAGCGCAAGTGGCCCATTTTGCGGAAACTAGTTTTGACTTCCTTAATAATTTTCGCAGAATTATCAAGGAAACCAGCCTTGATACTACTGTAGGGCATGAGTGAACTAGATTTCATAATGCTTTCTGTGCAAAACTCTCACAAGTGGGAAAAGGGACAGGGCAGCTGTGCCGTTACAGGTCAAAATCAAGCTAAAAGATAATTTTCCTCATTCCTTGTACCAATAAAAACACTTCAAAAGAAAGGAGGGCTAAAAAAAATAAAAAGCATGCTCTTCATTTTCTTCCTCAGGTCCGTTCCGTTACTTTGCAAACAGTAACATCCTCAGAAAGAGAACCTGAAAGAAAGCTGGAACAGTGGTGAGCCCATTCGGACTCTAGCCGTCCCACAATTCCATGGGACAGATATGGCCCCACTTCCTGTGGGCTTGCTGTCCACTTGGATTGGCCGATGGCAGTTTCTGGTCCATCTCTTCTTCTTCTGGTCTCTATCAAGTGTCTCTTTTGTTTAGTATGCATAGTCATACACGCACATTTGGGCCCTTTATTTTTTGCCTTTCGTTCTCATAAGTGGCTCTACATTGCACAGCGCTCCCTGGTGGCCTGGAGGGTAAGTGTCAGTAATATCGACTCCTCTTCTCGTCCGAGTCTGAGTTGTAATCTCGTAGACCCACACCTTTCTGTAGGCTCAGTAAGGAATCCTTCATCTATGTGAAGACACAGATGCGGTCATTTTACAATCAAGCTCAATCAAATCGCTTCAGCGTGTATGCAAACATATTTTATACCTGATCCAATAACAGTACTGAAGATTTAATGATTTCTCTCCATTTCTGCAGCTCAGCGTCGTGGTAGCGCTGCTGGGACTCCAGGAGCTGTGCCCATTCCATCTGTGTCTGCGGCAGTTTACTGCTAAACCCCATGGTAACAAAAACACCACTACTCAGTGATCTGCACAGGTCTGTCAAGCGAGTTTAGGAATGTATAGACACTTAAATTTTAGCAGGGTCGAGTGCAGTCCAAACTTGTGCTTGTGATGTTGTGGGAGGAGCTCACGACTGTGGGCGTGACTTGTGTGATTCTGAATTTTTGTGGGCGTGACTCAGTATTGTTGTGGGTGTGGCTTGGTATTGTTGTAGGTGGAGATTAATAATATTGTGGGTGGGGTTTGATAGACCTCAATTACCACTTCAAGTCGAACTCACCTAGTCGAACCACATAATGAGTGTGTCTTGATGTTGTGGGAGGTGTGGCTCAATATTGTTGTGACTGACATAATATTATTGTGGGTGGGTATTGGTGTTGTGGGAGGAACTCATAACTATGGTCATGACTCAATATTGTTGTAGGTGTGATTTGACATTGTTGTCGGTGGAGCTCAATTCCATTGTGGGTGGGTCTTGGTGCGGTGGGAGGAGCTCATAATTATGGGCGTGGCTCAATATTGTTGTGGATGTGGCTTGGCTTTGTGGGTGAAGCTGGTGGTGATATTGCTGTGGGTGGAGTTTAATACCATCCTGGGTGGGTCTTGGCTCAATATTGTTGTAGGTGTGAAGCAGTTGTAGTATGTGTTGTACCTTTCATGTAGGCGTAAGCCCTGCCAGCTGGTGAGGCTTTGTGCAGAATACTCCAGCATCCAGAGTTTGTAGAACAGCATCACATTCAAAAACACCAGTAGCACCAGACTGCAGAGGGACAACAAACAGACACATTATAAAATAAAGCACATGGACAAATTCAGTGAAAAAAAAAGACAAACGCTGGATTTGTGATGAGTAGAGTGAACATGATCAGACACTGATCAGAACAGATACTTTTGCTGCATTCCAGTCAAAATCAAATATGAGATATTCCCACTGTTGTCCACAGAAACACACTTTACACACAGACTTGTCAATGAAGTGCAGCATAAAGGCCTTTCCACACTGAGCACGAAAAAGCGAAATGAGTATTGGACGCGATGACACGCTGGAATAAAACAATAGATTTCTATGGATGCTTCCACATAGACCGCGAATATTCATGCACTGAAAAATGCGAATGTTTTTTTTTTGAACCAGTCTGATTAATCTTTTCAGTTTCACAAAGCGAAATCACGGGCCGTCCAATAAGATTTGAGCTAGGATCACGTGACCGGAGCAGCTGCTGTTGCACAAAAGGCTGAGAGTGGTGGCGCTGTTTCAAAAACCAGTGTAAACAAACATCAAAGAAGAGTATCCCGGATAAGAGATGAGAGTGGATGCTGAGTTCTTGTTAACGTTGGTATTTGAGAACAGATTTATTCTCACATGTTCTTTATACAGAATAACATTTCTATTACTTGTCCACTGAATTATGTAATCACAGTAGAGCACCGTCCGTTTTCTTCCACATACGCGAGTGTTATGAGTCAGAGTGCATTCACTCTTTTTCTACACATGAAATATGAAAGCAAATAGACATGATTATGACAATATATTTTCTGCATGTGTTTTGTATGCAGCTCATGGTATTTTTATAGCAATAAAGGATGTTTATGACAAATATTAGCAGTGTAGCGTTATTAAACATACAAAGAGTGCATGTGTCTGCTTATTAATCAAAATCAACTATAGATCACAATCGGAATTTATTAGAAGCACTCGATGATGGTTTAAAGTGGGTAAGCAAATACATTAATAATTACATACATTTTCAAGTGTAGCTTGATGCTAATTGTACTTCTAATTATATTTTAGGATGTAGCCTATTCTTGTAAGCATTATAGATAGTTTGTGTTTCTGGGGTAGAACCAAACTTTGTTTATCTTAATTTAATGCTGTATATTGAGCAGCGGATGATGTTAAATCCATTTACGAGATACATATGGAAAAATGCATTGTTGGTCGGCGCCACCTAGCGTGCAGGCGTGAATTAGCAGAAGGCGAACATTCGCTTCGCGTTCGGTGTGAAAGCACCGTTCGTCGGCGATTCGCCTCACTTTTTCGCATCGCGCTCAGTGTGGAAAGGTCTTAAGACCGATAGAGGGGCACTGAGAAAATGGACTAGAATGACAGGATAGAGATGGGATTTTCTGAATGGATATCAGTTCTGAATTGAAATCAGTAAAGGAATGTACCTTATACAGATCCTAAGGCCAACCACAAGAGGCAAAACCAAAAAAAAAAAAGAAAGAAAAAAGTCACATTTATAAAAATATTTAAAAAAGTAAGCAAAACTATATTAGTATTGATTAAAAGAGTATAGAAAATACTGAAGTACTACTTACACAAAGCTGATGATGAGTAGTGGTTTAGAGAGGTTGCAGAAAATCCCGCCCCCTGGCGTGTGCTCAGGAATGTGTCTTGTCTGAGTGGAACCTGTGGGTGGAGTACATGAAAATGCAACCAGTCCTATAAATTTAAAGCTAATATCTTTTGTGTTTGATAATATTTGGATGTGCATGAACTCACCTGCCACGTGTTTGATGCGGTGGATGACCTCCTCGTCTGTTGGTGTGGTCACAGGACTGAGGGTCTCATCTAGATGGGCTGTGCGCAGGTGGGCGGGGGGTCTTTTTCTCCGCCTTAGGGTGGAGTTCTTGACTGCTTTAGCATTAGGAGACAGTCTGTGGCTTTCCATTAGAGCGTCCTCTATCTTTCCTAACTCCAGTTCTGACAAAACAGCAACACTTGTTTACTGGTACTAAATACTGATTTATTCTGGTATTAATTTTAAGTGGTGACAACAAAACATTCTGCACAACAGAACGAGTAATTTAATGTAAAATGTGGAGTGAAGTGGAAGAAATTTGTGATATTGCCCGATATTGCTGTGATTGGGACTCAATGTTGTAGTGGGTGGGTCTTAATGTTGTGTGTGGAGCTCAATATTGTTGAGAGTGGGACCTGATAATATTGTGAGTGGAGCACAATACTGAGGGTGAAGTTTAATTTTGTGCTTGCAGCTCAATATTGTGGACGGGATTTGATATTGTTGTGGGTGGAGTTAAATTTTGTTATAGGTAGAGCTCCATTTTTTGTGGGTGGGGCCTGATATTGTTATGGTTGGAGTGATTGCTGGAAAGTGAAATGGCAAACAGTTGTGGGGAGAGGTCAAGATGGTTGTGGGAGGGGCCTGATACTGTTGTGAATGGGGCTTGAAATTTGTTGTAGGTGGGAACCGATATTGTTGTGGATTGAGGGCGGTGTTGTAGTAGGAGGGACCCAATAATGTTGTCGGTGGGGTTAAATGTTGTATTTGGTGGGGCTCATTATTGTTGTGGGTGGGGCTGAATGTAGTTGTGGGCGGAGCACAATACTGTTGAGGGTGGGACTAGAGACCTGCGCGGGACGGATTTTTCAGTCCCGCTCCCGCAAGATTCTGTCCCGCGCCCACCCGCTCCCACAGAAATATATCTTATCTGGTCCCGCTCCCGCCCGCGTCATTCATGTTTTGTCCCGCTCCCGCCCGCAAAAGCCCGCATAAAAGTAATCTATATAGATTTTTTTTCAGTACATCGAAGAAATTTACATAAAATGGTTCTGTAATATCTCCTAAGCTCCACAACATCTTTCACAATGTCTACACCGTGTATTAAAATGAGAGGATTCATGAGCACGCAATTTCAGCACTGCGGTGAGTAGATTCTAACTTAATCACCTCTGATTGGCCATTGCGTTCCAGAAATCAACAGCTGAGTCTGTGATTGGCTACATTGAGCAACCTTTTAAACACGTGTTATAAATAGAAACTATGCCTAGCTTGCGCATGTCAATCATTTTAATGTTAATATTAGTTGTTCTTTTTGCTTTTGTGCAACAGATAAATAACAATTTATATGTTTTAAACACTTTATGTTTAGATAATTTCTATTTTGCGGGAGTCCCGCAAATCATTTTATTCTCCCGCATCCCGCACACACACGAGTCTCTTCCCGCCCGCACCCGCACTCGCCCATCAAGAGTTGTCCCACGCCGCACCCTGTTACGTTGGGTCCCGCGGTTCCCGCGGTCCTCCCGCGGGAGTGCAGGTCTCTAGGTGGGACTTGATATTGTTATGGGCAAATTTCAATTTTGTTGAAGGTGGGGCTTAATGTTGTGTATGGAGTTTAATATTGTGCTTGCAGCTCGATATTGTGAATGGGAATTGATATTGGTGTGGGCGGAGCTCAATGTTTCTCAATTTTGTTGTGGTTGCTGCTCAGTATTGTTGTGGATGGGGCTTTATATTGTTGTGGTTGGAGTGATTGCAGGAAAATGTGGAGTGAAGCGAAAGAAAGTTGTAGGTGGTGCACAAGATGGTTGTGGGTGGGGCCTGATATTGTTGTGAGTGGGGTTTGAAATTTGTCGCGGGTGGGAATCTTATTGTGAATGGAGCTCAATGTTGTTGGGGGCGGGACCCAATATTATTATGGGTGGGGTTAAATGTTGTTTTGGATGGAGCTCATTGTTGTGGGTGGGACTTAATATTGTTGTAAGTGAAGCTGTTGTGGATGGATCTTTAGATGGTTGAGGCTGGGGCTAAAGAAAGTTGAGGGTGGGGCACAAGGTGATTTTGGGCGGTTGTGAAATTGTGTCTTACCGAGGCTTTTGAAGTTCTCATCTAGCCCACTCCAGAAGTTCTTCTCAATGAAGCCCTTCACCAGTGCCCATGGCTGTTTCCTGTACCTCAACTCTGTAGAAACCCTGAAGGCCGAATGAATCACATTATTGTCAGTCACACCTGCCTCTCTCTGTTTGGCTTTGACCATAAAAAAACGAATGTCTTGTTCACCCGTACCTCAGTCTACACTTGTTCTTGGCCACGCGCGTCAGCATGTAGCGGTTTAGGGTGTAGAAGTAGTCGTGGTACGGAACGTCATGAGTGATGACTTCAGCATCAATTATGTAGCACTCACTCTCCTGGCTGGCCTTATACAGAGTCTAGTTCAGAGAGAAGTTGCATTGAAAATATTAATATTAAAACACACACACACAAAACAGTACTGAGGAGAAGTCAGTCTCACCTGAGTCTCAGTAACTGTAGCTGTTTTAGGAGCCAGTGGGTTGGTCAGGGAAATTGTGTACATGATGGCCCTGGTCTGATTTCCAGCATCTTCCTTCTTCCAAGGCTGATACACCACATCTGTGAAAAGATGTGCAGAACCACAGTTATTATAGTTAACTAAAACCATAACAAACATTTTTGAAATATATGAGAAAAAAACAATGCTATATATATATATATACACACACAGTATATATATAGCTAATTTCAGCTAATTTCTTATTTTCATTTTAACTCTAAGTACTAAAATCAGTAAAAATAAACTAAACTAAAATGAATAAAACCATGTAGACATATATAGAAATGACAAAAACACACAACAAAATACATTTTTTGAATGAAAAAAATAAAAAACAATGTATAAAAATTATAATAGTATCTCAGTGATACTAAAATAAAACTGATCTTAAGTATTCTTGATGTACTGTATAGTTAAGTTTTGCTCATAGATAAAACAATACATATAATAATTAAAATAATCTAATTAAATCATTTAAAGGGGTCATATGATGCAATTTCAATTTTTCCTTTCTCTTTGGAGTGTTACAAGCTCTTGGTGCATAAAGAAGATCTGTAAAATTGCAAAGACTAAAGTCTCAAATCCGGCCTTCCAAAAGAGGACGATATCCGCTTCGTCATGGGGTCGTCACATGTGGTTGCCGCAAGCCCGCCGGACGCTCATTCGTTGAATCCGTTGGCTGTGCCGTTCTCAAGCCCGCCCGCCTCTGCTCACTCTAGCCCACCGTGTGTTTCGTTGTGAAAGCGAAACTACTTTGTTTGGCCTTCCAAAAGAGGACACGACTTAAACCGCATAAACACATTTCATTACACCAAATACACAAAATAATGTTCTTTTTAGCAACATCATATGACCCCTTTAAACTCAAATGCAAATTGAGTTGAATTATTTGGCAAACAACCGTGTAATGCTCTTCATGGTCTTGATCACTCTATTAGGGTTTCTCTAAAAGTTCAATCAGTTCAAAGACAAAGGAATTACTTTTTGAAGTGTTCTGACCTGTAAATCTCCTCTGCTCCATGAAGTCTGTCATGAACTGGGACTCGGTGAAGAGGATGGTGTACAGCTTATCAACACTGAATTTATACACCTCATTAATGTACTGACGGCCGTTCAGATCCTCGTGGAATGCTTGAACCTCATCCCCTGAAGAAATATGCAAGATGAGCTGTACAGCACTAATCAAGTACTGGCATCAAAATATGGAGAATCTTGACAAAAATGTGGAGAATCTCACACTGTTCACTATTCAAATTATGTTTCCAAAATAAGACATCCACATGTAGTAAGGTATAACAATTAACTGATCAAATTTATACAAATTAAGATCACTTTGAGCTGCTTCCAAACTGTGAACATTTTTAAATTGGTTTCGATAACGTGAAAGTGTGCACTTCACATTTATTTATTTTATTAAGTTGGCTTGAAAAAGCCAACTTACTGAAATCCTATTTAAACTTCTTCTTCTTCTTAGACCAAATTTTAAAATGTATCTTTTAAAGCTACAACCACCAAACTCGGGTCAGACCTTCAGACTGGTCTGACTCTGGTTGCTATATCTTTTCTAACTGATCCGGCTTACTGTTTTTGTAAACCAGACTATCAAAACCACCTAAAATCCCATAGAATTTCATACAATAAGACGAATGGTGTATTTAAGCTGTCTATTGCTATAGCAAAGCTTAACAACTCCCTACTGAAAAAAAAAAAAACAGCTAAAACCAGCCGAAGCTGATTGACTGCTTTGGCTGGTCTCCCAAGCTGGTTTTAAAGTGGTTTTGGCCACTTTTTTAGCAGGCCAGGCTGGTCTTAGCTGGTTTTTAGCTGTTTTTTTTTTTTACTGAATCAACTGGTTTTAGCTGGATTAGCATAGAAACATGCTAACAACATGCTAGTAACTTGCTAATCATGCTAGAAACACGCTAGTAACTTGCTAACCATGTTAGAAACATGCTAGTAACATGCTAATCATGCTAGCAACATGCTAGTAACATGCTAATCATGCTAAAAACATGTTAGCAACATGCTAGTCGTGCTAGAAACAGCCTAGCAACCACCACAGGTACCCTAGCAAGATGTTTTATACCTATCTGTTTTTTGTTATCCTTGAAAACATTCAAACTTTAATCTTTAAAACGATTTTAACTTTCAAACTACTTCAAACTGAAAACTTTCAGACTGCAAGCTTTTAAAACTTTTTCAAACTTTCTAGCTAGGCTTTTCCAAGCCAGCTTAAAGTTTGTCTACAAACTTTTCAATCTAGTTTTAATTACATGATATAATATAATTAAAATAAAATAAACAAATACTTAAATTCAATTTTTAATTATTAAATACATTTTAATTATTCTATTTTTTAGTATATAAAAATTATATTTTGGAAGCGTATGAAGTTTCAAACATTGATTCAAACATGAAACAAGAAGAGTTTTTTTTTTCTTTTTCAAACCTTCATCATCTGTCTCTGAGGAATCACTGAGATCAGTGGGTATATCCTCATTGTCGTTGAAGTCGAGTGCAGGTGGCAGCACAGGGTCCAGAGGACTGGCCGGCTCGCTGTTCCTCTCCTCAGCCAGCAGAGGGAGCGGCAGCAGATCTCCATCAGGAAGGCAGTCTGTGTACTCCTCAGCTGCAATGTCAAACTGACACCAGCAGAGGGCACTATTTCAAACAATGTCTCTTAATAAGACCAAAATGGAAAGCGTGCATGAGCGCATATACTCACAGACAGTGGCGTATCAGTGCTGCTGGGAGGTGTGGTGGAGTGTGTGATGGATCTCTTGTGTGACGGAGGAGAACTGTTGTCTGGCTTGTTCTCACTGCTGCTCTTGGATGAGTTATCATTACTGACCTCGTTCTCCTCTGCTGGGATCTCCTCACAGTATCTGAACAGAGAGAATGTGGACACTTAGGTGCTATATCTGTGCAACATTCACGTCTGAATATGTTGGGTTTTTGAACAGTAGTTATGAAAGCATGCACATATAACTCACCCCATGGTGTTGAAATCATCATCAGGCGGCACATAGTCTTCATCATCGCTAGTGAGGCCCAGCTCATTTCCATAGCACTGATGTACGAAGTGCCAGAGCTCTTTAGGACAGAGAGGCTGCACACAGAGTATATGACACTTTATTATATTTGCTTAGATAACATCAGATATAACCTATCTAATATTGCTTAAAATGTACTGACAAAATTAGCTTAATTCACAACACATGCATACACACATGAATTGGTTCTTAACCTAATTCTAAAGTTTTGTAATTGTTAGTAATGTTCTGATGAATTTTGGAGTATTCTAAATGAGTGACTGCGTGCCCGAGGTTAGTCATTTGCATAAACATGTCCAAACCTGTCCATTTAAGGTAGGGCTGCATGATTATGATAAAAATCATAATTGTTGATTATTCCTTTGGAATTGTAATTGCGATTATTAATCATGATTATCACAATTTACATTGAAAGAGGTTTTGAATAGCTTTAGAAACAACTGCATGCCAAATTTTTATATGAAAAGTTGAAAACACTCTTCCTGAAAAACATTTATAAATTTTCTATATAGCATTAAGCCTCAAATGTCAACTATACATCGGTTTGGTTTCTTCTTAAAATAAAAAAAGTAAAAATATGCATGCTATTTTATACTAAAAGTAAAATGAAAATGATGGAGATAACCTATAGAAAGAAAAAAAAAACATGCACATTTTAAGCATGCAGGATGATGTAAGTGGGCTTCATCAATTGATTATTAATGATACCAATAATTACATGTAAATAATACATTAAAACAGCATGTAACTTTGACCAAATTACAAAAAGACAAAGTGATTCTAATGTATTTCTTTGGTCTTAATTTTATTAATAATATTAAGACCAAAGAAACACATTACACAGAACAATTGGCATACAGTACCAATGTTTGCATGTTTTTCTTTTTGGTATCAGTCATTGCGGTGGTTATTGCTGTCAATCACCACAGTTTCGGATTCAAAAGCAAATAGCGCTTTCTCTTAATAATCACTAAAGTTGTCAATCACTTCAGTTCAGTGCAAACTCACAGACTGAACTCTGCTCTCTTGCAAAATATCCTGTTAAAATAACACAAAAAATGGTCTACACTGCACAATGAATTACATCATGTTTACATTTTGTTGGTTATAATAAAAGGATTCACCACAACTATAACGATAACAATGACGATGATGATACAAAGTCTGAAATTTGTCGTGCGTTACAGCAGGTTCACTCACAATTACAAAACTTAATCACATGGACAAAAGTCAGATAAGACTTTTACAGTCGCAAGAAGAAAGGGTTAAAAAGGACGATGCAGTCAATTTTTAAACAATTTCTTCCAGCTGATGAACAGTGTAACCACTGACAGTCAATCAGAATTCACCCTGCTGTAAACAGCTTGAGCATTTAAAGCAGCAGATGACAAAACTGCAGTGCGCTTATAATAATGTGCTGGTGTGGATGCTAATACAGTTATTGTTATAGTTATCTTTCTTGTTGTGAACTGGCCTTAACTTAAACTTTATATACTGTATATACTCATATACTGTGCTCATACCTTGTCCAGCAGTGCATTCTGCCAAAGTCTGAACATCATCATGTAAGTCCTGTCTCTCGCACCAAGCGATGTGAAAAAGTGCTGAAGGGAAGAGCAAAGCAGGAGATGAACATCAAGAAACAACCTCTGTGTTAATGTGCTGAGGCATCTGAAAGACTCTCACCTTCTCAGTGTCCGTGCACACCTGTATGGCATTGGGAATCAGACGCGCGGTTTTCTCTTTCGTCATGGAGCAGACGTCTTTCAGCCGAACTGTAAGCTGCATGAAACGCAACGACAAAAACTCAGCTCTTCTCCAATCTCTCTGGAGGCTGTAGCTCCAAAAGTCTGAGTTACAGTAAATCATACCAGTGTCTCCCAGCGAAAGATGTTGCTGTAAAAACAGATCCAGTTTTCAGAGAGGTAGAGGCGGCCCTGCAGGAGAATGTCCCGCTGGAGAGCGCATGAGTAGTCTGCCAATGACAGGACAAGGTCAAAAGATGTCCCTCCTGTTACATCTTTCAATTGAATAATTTTGTTTTCTAATATTTTAGTTTGCATTCATCAAGTTCTAAATAAAGGGAGAAAGTACCTTTAAACCGTTTAAGCATTTAATGCAATTCTAAATTAACTATTAAATATAGTTAATTTTAATTATAATTTCACTTGTTAATGAATTATAATTCGTTTTAAAATGATAAATATAAAGTATAAATTTAAAGTTGTATATATATATTAAAGGGGTCATATGATGCGATTTCAACTTTTCCTGTTACAAGCTGTTCGTGCATAGATAAAGATCCCTAAAGTTGCAAAGACTAAAGTCTCAAACCCAAAGAGATATTCTTTATAAAAGTTAAGACTCGTCCACGCCCTCCTAAAACGCATACAATGCCGGTGTTCAGGTGAATTCAGTTCCTCTGTTTCCCCTTCAGCGCGCATGCTGACCACAGTCTATGATGCTGACAAATAATGCTGACTCACAGCATGTAAGTACGTTTTCATTTAGGTAATTTACAGTAGTTTACTTACTATAAATAAAGAGCTTAATATATGAGAGCTCTTACCCACAATAAGGCGCTCTGTGTCCGGTAACTGCTTGAAGAGCTTCCTGAAGTCTTCATTACGCTGCTTGTATGTGGGACTGAGGACCTACAAAACACAAAAATCAGTAGATGAGGAACACACGCATACTCACACGTCCATCCACACTCAGAAAGAGTGTGCATTAAGAGCATTTCCACTCTCACAGCTGATCATCAGTCAAATGCTGCGTTAGTTCTGCCATGCAGCAGCGCGAGATGAACCACAATGAGTTCATTCCCACTGTAGAGTCACACTGCTTCTCATTCACAAATGCACTCTTCACTCCTGCTAATGAGTGAATATACACCTGGCATCAGTAACAGCGGCGCGTAAACAGCCTTTAAAGACAAATGCTCTGAGAAAAGACAGGGCAGTCACTTCAACTTGAATCTCGAGGTGTCTTAAGATCAACCATGTAAAACGTTTCCTTATTCACAAAATTGAACGTGATACACTGTTGCCATGGAAGTGATATAAAAAAAACAAACAACAAATGATCATAAATACCTTTAGAATTATACAGAATTTATATTATTTAACCACTGAATTCTGTTTCAAAAATATTTTGAACATATATTTGTATAGACTGTACTGACAATGTCAATATTGAATATTTTAAACTAATTTTTACAATATTAGAATAAGCAAAAAATAATAATAAAATAAAATAAATAAATAAATAAGCATAAATAAAAAAGCATTACAATTTGAGTGAAGTGTATTTTGTCTGTTATACACACAATTTTATATATTATGCTTATATTTTCAAAACAGAATTTATGAGTTATTATAATATAATAATTCCTTGGTTTATCATGTCCTCGTTTTATCATCTACACAATGCACACAATAAGCATAAATAAAAAAGCATTACAATTTGAGTGAAGTGTATTTTGTCTGTTATACACACAATTTTATATATTATGCTTATATTTTCAAAACAGAATTTATGAGTTATTATAATATAATATAATATAATATAATATAATAATTCCTTCGTTTATCATGTCCTCGTTTTATCATCTACACAATGCACACACCCATCCATCAACTTAAATATACTCTCTATGTAATATTATATTATATTATATTATATTCCTAAAAATATGAAATTATTGTATTTAAGCATTGAAGCACTTCAGACACTTCAGTGTCAACATTTTAATTTTATGTTTTTACTAATTTCTACCAAATTTAAATGAGTAAATAAATGAAATAAAATATACAATAAATTTATATTACAACTATAAGAACTGGGGTGAAAACTGAAAAGTAAAAAATTCTATGTGTATATGCAGACACACACTCTATACTGTACATATAAACATTAGTTTTTTGATATTTATATAATTTTAATTCATTTTGTTGAACATTGGCCTATTATTATCAACAGAGTACCCTAAACTAGCTATATACTCTTTTGTTGAATCTTTATACAGACTCACGGCAGGTATGTCCTCATCCTGGTACGGGTCGTCCCGCGGGCCCCACTGCCAGTTCTGGTCCCAGTCTGAACCCTGAATTAACCAGCCCAACAAAGCCTCCTCCAGCTCCATAAGAGTCTCCCAGTCGTCCTGAGAGTCAAGTGATGAATCCATGTCTCTGTGGATGTCTCTTACTACAGCCAGCGGATCAATCAGTTCATCGATGACACTCCGCTCAGACTGCCAGATCCTGCTGATATTTTTGATAAGGGTGGGTCTGTAGGTTCTCTCACTCCTTCAAGGTAAGTCTACGCTATCGCAGATGTTCATCAGGGTGTGACATCTATCAGGGTGTGAGTGCTGGGCTCTCCTGACTAGTGCCACATGATTCCAGTGCAAAAACACACTCACACGCAAGTGGCCTTTAGTAACCTCTGCAGACAGATACTTTATTATGCTGCTGTTTGTTCCAGTTTCCCACTGTTTGTGCTGGGAAAGAGTGGGTATGTGTGTCCGTCTTGATTCTTTATGCTTCTTCAGACTGAGAACACTGTGACCAGAGAGTCGATGAAGAAGGAACAGAACGTTACTTCCACAAGTTAATCGTTACCTTAGTATGCAATGGCCACCAATATCTCTATTACAGTTTGGTTGTTGGCTTTCACAGAACGTTCTTCTTGGAGTTTAGTCCATCAAAGATGTGATTCATCTTAGTCCTCAGAATTTGTGTTTGTTTTCTGCATTCGCTTGCTGTTCGTGTTAGACTTCAGAGAAGAAAAATGTATCTTCTACAGGTTTGAAATGGAGCATGACAACCAATAAAGAGCGTGACTGGAGGGTTGATGAAGAAGGAACAGTAAGTTACTTCCGCAAGTTCCGCAAGTTCTTCTTGGAGTTTAGTCCATCAAAGATGTGATTCTTCTTAGTCCCCAAAGTTTGTGTTTGCTTTCTGCATTCAGCAGCTGTTGTTGTTCGACTTTAGAGAACAAAAGATAGTCTTCTGCCGGTGTGAATCGGACCATGACGACAAATAAAGAGCCCCGAAAGAGCCTGTCTAGAGAGTCGATGAAGAAGGAACAGAAAGTTACTTCCGCAAGTGATAATCGTTACCTCAGTATGCAATGGCCGCTAATATCTCCATAACAGGTTGGTTGTTGGCTTTCAAAGATTGTTCTTCTTGGAGTTTAGTCCATCAAAGACATAATTCTTCTTATTCCTCTTCTTATTAAACAAGTTTTTCTTGTTTTCTGCATTCAGTCTTGTCAGACTTCAGAGAAGAAAGATCTTCTACAGGTGTGAAACGGACCACGACGACAAATAAAGACCATCCGGAAACACTCTGCACCAAATCCTTGGGTTCTTAGGTCCTCTTTTTAATAATTTACGCTTTCCAATTTAGAATTCACACTCGCATCTCTCAATCCCAAACGACACTCACTCGCTCCCTCTCATTTGTGCCTAAAGATAACCAAGAACAAAGACTGACACATGATCTGCAGCAGACATAATGCTAAGAATGGAATTCTGCTTGTGCAAGCGACAACTCCGTCCCAAAAGTATGCTCTCTTCAGCGCTTATGCATAAATATCCATAAAGGCGACTGGATAGTTGCTCTCAATGGAGAAGCAGATACTCAGGAACATTCCAGAGCAGATCCAGACCAGCAGAAACCTCAGCATATACTGCGGAGCACAACAGCTCTATCTGTCCTGCTGATTTATGTAGAGCTGGATGTGTGTGAGTGTGTTTACTCCTGCTGATGAGTATGTAAAGTCAGTTACTTATTAACTAAAAGAGTAAATAATGAGAGACGCCGGTGGCTGGTACCAGGAGTGGGTGTGACGACTCCAATAATGTCATCAGGGGATCCCTTTGTTCTCTAATGTCACAGTGACAAGTGAGACAATTAGGGGCGTTTCCATTACAGATTTGCGCAAAACTTTGGCGATATTTTATAAATGTCGATAAAAAAGTATTGCGAAATGACGGTGTATCCATTAACCGATGTTATGCGACTAAAACGTAATTTTTTCCTCTCGCGATAAGTCATGGCAATGGATTTTGATGGGATTTTGGCTACACTAGCCATTATATTTAATCGAAGGAGGCATATGCGTGTATCTTGATAGAAGCAGTGCGGAGAGCAGCTTCTGGGACGTGCCGTGGCATGACTGGTAACACAAGCGTTGACTAGAGTGGCCGCAGACGTGTGCAGTGTAAATAGTCTAAGCATTAATGGCAGGGGAAAAAAAAAAAACGTTTCCATTGCAGTTTTGCGAAATATTCCTTTTTCGAATTGCCTGAAAAACCACCTCATGCGAGCGTAAAAACTTTTGACGCGTTTCCATTAGGCGTATTTTCAATTCGCAATTACAATTTGCGCAATTTGAAGGGTAATGGAAACGCAGCTAATGTCTAGTGTGCGAAATATACATAAGCTTTTGGGGCGCGATCTGTTGAGGTTAGTCTCTTGCAACTCAAATTGTTTTTTATTTAGCCAAAAGTCCACCTTAAAGGGATAGTTCACCCAAAATTGAAAGTTCTGTCATCATTTACTCACCCTCATGTCGTTCCAAATATGAGTATGAGTTTCTTTCTTCTGCTGAACACAGAAGAATATATTTTGAAGGATCTTGATAACCAAACGGTTTTGATGACCATTGACTTCCAGTGTATGGACCAAAAAATGAAGACATTTTAAAAAATATATTCTTTTATGTTCTACAAAAGAAAGAAAGTCATACAGATTTGGAACGACAAGAGGGTGAATAAACGATGACAAACATTTTTGGTGAACTATCCTTTTAAAAATCTTTAAAATACACTAAAGCTGGTATGTTAAATTCTGTATGTGTCATATCTAAAGTCATAAAAAATGTCAATATTGATGTTTGTTAATAATTATCATACCAAAAAGTGCTTTAGTTCACAAGCATTTTTCATTATTTGAGTGTCCGGTGAAAGTATATACTCTGACTGATTTTGCAGTTACTAAAAACATTTTTGAAGAACATAAAATATAAAATTATTTTTGCACATGTAGGCTGCCATTTAGACTAAGAACCATGTATTGGTTTAGTACACGTATGAGACCTCCCCAACTTTGATTTAACTTCCATTGGGGTTCAAACCTAAATAGATATCAACCCAAAGTTTTTCACATAAGAAGAAATTTCGAATGTTGGTAACCAAACAGTTTAAACTAAACCCAAAAACTATACTGATGAGTTGATTTGTGTAGAAAACTTTGAATCATTTAGATGACAAGGACACACCAAAAATGTGTGCTGATAACAGCCATACAATGAAAAGACAGAGCAGGCCTTTGTGTGACATATCTGCTCTGGGTCTCTTCCTAATCATACTCTTTGTTTATTACTTTTCTAATTTTACCCCGAAACTAACAATGTGTTGTGAAATTGCTGCCTTAAAATAAGCTAATTCATACAAGCTTTGCTCCTATAAAGAGTCAGATGCTGTTAATAATCAGCACTCTCTCATAAACCAAACATCTCGGAGCCTAACTGCAACACAGTACAGCAGCCGACATTCACTCCGGTGGTCAGTCGGGCTCAGAACTCACATGATGACGGTTGAGATGTAATCACAGCGCTCTCAGGGCAATGGGAGATCATCACTGCCCATACAAACCCGCCACAGACAGAGCATCAAGAAATGTTCTAAACATACTGTATAAATATAACATCAACACCACTGTGTGAGATCCTGCCCAGTATGCATTTAGTATGCATCAAACAACTCACATCCGTGCAGATGCAGTGCAATCAACCAATCACATCACACCGCTGAGAACCAGAGCCAATCAAAAAGATGCAAAGTCTATTTACTGTGACTCTTCAATGCTGCCGCCATGCAGGCCCTTGTGAAAAAGAAGTGTGCTTAATTGTAATCAATGTGCACTTGTATTTCAAATCTTAAAACTACATTAAAAAAAAATTTTACTTGCCGATAATATAAGATTAATAAAATGAAAGTGTACTTAAAACTAAGTGTACTTAGAGTACACTTTCATGACTGCTATGTTTTTAACACTTAAGTGCAGTTTTAAATTTTGTTTTAAAAGGGCACTTTGTAATAATGTCAGATTAAAATAATTAAAGAAGTATGCTTATTTAATTGTATTGATTAGCATAATAAAGCACGTGTAAAGAACTTGTCCATTTTAACTGTAATGTGTTACTTGATGTTACATTTTAAATTTAATATATTTTAAAAGTACTAAATTGCAACTTCATCGTTAGAAAGGTGTATTTACAAATATTTTAAATATGTGACATGTTTTTCAATAGAAATGACATTAAAGTATATTTTATTGTACCATCAATGTTTGTCAGTACATTCAGCAATAACACTTTAACCATATTTCAAAGGCATGAGAAGTAATAATGAAATTACATATAAAGATGTACTGAAATCCTACTTAAGTGTGTCAAAATGCACTCTTAAGTTCAACTAATTGTATTTAATATAAGATTAAATTATATAACATTTCCTTTTCATTTAATTGTAAATGTGTGAAAACATTACATTCAGTTCACACTTATACAGTATATATTCTTTAAAGTATATAATTTTTTTTCTGTAGTACTCTTTTTAAAAGTATGCTAATGTTTACTTCTTTTTCACAAAGGGGTATTAATGCCATGCATCCTGTTTTTGCATTCGGTTTAGTAAAGTTCATGGTGCTACGATTGCATCATTAGATGATCACACACATGCCAAAGCCATCATTAGAACGACAGAAGCCTTCAAGACTCATTTCAGTCCTCATACTGAACGTTTGAGGAAGGACTGGTGTGAGAGGGAACAGAACGTGGAGAGTAAAATCATGCTTACTCTGAGAATGTGCTGTCTCTCATGCTAAAGAGAAAGAGTGAAGGAGAAAGAGAAGAGAGGGGCAGACAAAAAAGAAAAGAAAAAAAGAAAACACAGACAGAAAAAGAAAGCAAAGATTGATGGAGATATTGTGGGAAGCAGGGATTGAAATTAACTTTTTCACTCACCAGCCAATTTGGCTACTAAATTTTTAAGTTACCGGCCATTCATAACTTCTACTAGCCAAAAAAAAAGACAGAAATAAACCAACAGTTTGAGTCTGTCTACACTGGGCATGACAAAGCGACCGTTGCTAATCATATTGTGTCAGTAAAGGGTTGTGCCCTATTGACAAAAAATAATATCTCAATATTTTCATATCGATATCGATAAAGATAATTAGACAATATTTTG